TGTATTACAGACCTTTCCTCTAAAGCTTGCCAGCTCTCCTTTCCAATGACTAACAGTACATTCTTGCTATAAATGTGCAAACACATGCTGAATTTGTGGGATCAGAAACTGGATATTTACTGTTAGCAAGAGAGCATTTGTCTATGATTCACAAGTACAATAAAGTCAATGTAATTTAACAAACAAATAATTGGAGAAAATACATTTCAACATTGTGTATTGTCAACAGACTTAGATGCAGTGTGATGTCTTTTAGAATCAAATAATGGTCTTCAATATCTATAACAACACAGCATTTTTATAATAGAAAGGAGTTGCTGTAGGACGGTATATCAATAGTTTACATATTTTGCATCCTGCCTTCTAAAGCAGCCCAAGTCAGAGCTGTGACTGAAGAGAACCACAGGCAAACACGGCAGCGTCAAAGAACATGGTCTGCACCACGCACTCGTATCAGTTTTATTATCTTCCCATGGCAAAATAGTAAATATGTTTTCTTTTAGTTTCGTGAGATCTGATAACTTCTGTGATTAGAACAGGAACGTTGATTAAAATCAGATCACACATTAATTTAACATAGGGTATAGGCAGTACCTTTTGAATAAGCAGTTAAAAAGAAGGAAAATATCAAAGATGATTCTTAGGGAAATACTGGTAAATAACTGACCTTTAAATACTACAAATGAAATTCAAGCTAAGCATAATTTATCTTTGTTATTGTAAAAGCTTTATAGTCAGAAACATGACAATTAGGTATAATGGGTTTTTTTCTTAATAACTGAAATAACTAATAACAAACAAAAAAAAAGGAAAAAAAAGGGAAAAAATTAAACAAGAAAGCCCTATTGCAGATCACGTAATCCACAACCTCACATCTTTTGTCTGTAGAATATATGTGCATTTTTTTCTCCTACTAGACAGGTTTATCTGAGGAAAAAAGAAAGGCACAGCAAATTTATTCCTGGAGAAATGAGATGTAAAGCAATACCTGAAAAATAGTTAAGCAGTATACACTAGGTTGTCTTATTGCTTATATTGTAGCAACCTAATTTATTTCTATCTACCCCATTGTTTAATTATAGGTATAAACTAAGCACAATTCAAGAGCTATATAATGTCAATGAATATTACCTACATTTCATGTTTATATCTATTGATGCTGCAGTATTCCGAATAGCAATTTGTGGATTAGACCTTGGACTACCAGCCGCAAAGAGACATTTTCCAGCTGCTGTCAGCATTGTTTGTGGCAGGTTCTGTTCATGCTTCCGTTCATGTTAGGGCTTAAAAGACACATCTTCACATACTTGAAAGCATAGGTATGTTTAAATATTTATGGAATGAGAGGAATTTTTAAAATCTTCCTCTGAAAGGCTGTTAGTGGGAATTTGCATGTTGAAGTACACATGCTGCAAGTATAAACAATTTTTAAAACTGGCTATTGAAAACACGTTAGCACCCTAATATATGTCATATTCACAAGAAAATGTTCTTTTTGTGTGCTTAGCCCCGAGTAAGTAAAGCAGCCCTTAACAGAGCTGCTGTCCCACAATGAACATGCAGTGTCATGTCGTGTGTGTAAAGATGGGCAAGGGCTGTATTCCAGATGTTGGGCGTTAAAAATATCCACCGGGTCACTCTGTGTCTCTTGAGAGACAGTAGTTAGTGGCCGAAAGGTGACATCTTCATATTCTTAAGTCTATTCTTATACACTGTTTGCGTGAGTGAGCGAAGCTCCTGATTTTGCAAAATCAGATAGTTGGTTCGGTGATGGCTGAGATTCGCTTACTCACCTTTGCACAGAAAAGAACTGGAAAGATGCTTGCAGGTGCTTACTGTCTTGCTTAATAAGCGGTCTCTTGAAACACCTCTGTGCTTAACTGTTGCATAAGGCTTTCTGCTCTGTCTTGGGCACAGTCGTCTCTGAGGTGGTATGTGTATGTATGGGGAAGAGGGTGCTCAAATCTTAGGTGCTTGCCTGAGGAAGACAATGGCAGACTGTGCAGTATCACTGGTTGGTGCTGGTTTACTCACATCCAGCTCTGAGTTAGGTGTAAGGCTGCCTCTTCTCCTCTTCTCCAGTGCAAAGTTAATCAAGTTGGTATAACCTACTGGTGACTCCCATAGCACAGCGTGGAAGGGAAGCCAAGTGCACTGAGCCAGGTAAAGGTAGCTCTTGCTGGTGATGGATTTCAGTTGCTTTCTCCAAGGTGAGACTGGTGCCTGCCCATGTGAGCTTCTCCTCCACCTCGTTTTGATGCAAACTATCAGTAAGTCAGAATCACAGAACCATAGAACAGCCCAGCTTGGAAGTGACCTCAAAAGATCATCTGGTCCAACCTTTCATAGGAAAGTGAGCCTAGATGAGATTATCTAGCACCCTGTCCACCTGCATCTTGAAAACCTCCGGCGATGGGCACTCTACCACGTCCCTGAGGAGGTTGTTCCAGTGATTGATTGTTCTGACTGTAAAAAATTTCTTTATTATATTGAGATGAAACCTCTCCTGGTGCAACTTGTACCTGTTGCCCCTTGTCTTCTCTGTGTGGCTCCTTGTGAAGAGAGAGCCTCAGTCTTCTTTGTAGCCCCACTGTAAGTACTGGAAAACTGTGATGAGGTCAGAAGACTGTGTGAGTTAAGCTCACCTGTTCAATGCTGCACTGGGAGGGAATGGGATAGAGGCATTCACGCGTTCAGGGATAGCTATGAGCAATGTAAGTAGTAACTGCCTCCTTACTGTTTGGTATCACCTTCCCTCCATCTTCAGCAGAGATGATGGCTGCACTGTATGCTAGCACAGCTAATGAAGCACGTACAGGCACGATGAAATGAGCTGTGAATTGAGAGGGGAGGTGTTGAGGTGTGTCCACATCCCATGGGTTACACTAAAGAGTGAGCTTCCCTCAGGTGTGCCCCCCACTAGTAGTACTTGCTAGGGCTGTGTTGACAAAGTACAGAAATCCACAGCGCGTGAGCAATGTGCAGTGGATGTTATGCAGCAGTGACCATCTGTGCTGGCTAGGTGGGCCCCATCCCTCCTCCCAGTGACAGGAGAAAGCCATGTGCCACCTTGCCTACACCACGTGCCAGGATTTAATGCGTACGCCCGGTAGTCCTGCCTCCTCCCCTCCCTGCCCCAGGAGCTGGCTGCTCCCAGCAGCGCGGCTTCTGAAGTTGTTCTTGTGTATGTGGTGTCTTGAATATGCGTGTTTTTACAAAGCGTGGTTACTGAGCGCTAGCTCCGTTATACACTGTACACCTTACAGGCTCTTCAGAGGCAGAGCAGATGCCCTGTGCAAACGAAGGAGCTTGTTACAGTTCGTTCAGCTGTTGTCCCTTTTCGTGCTCGGTCTGTGAAGGACAGCGTTTTGAGGACTGCTGGAGGAAGTTTTCACTGTAAAGAGGCCTGGCCATGCCTTTTAGATTATTGTCTCTCATTTTAAATGCAGAACCTGCTTTTAGCACGGACTTCTCCCGTTTGTAATTTCCCTCGTCTGTTCTGCAGTTCTTTGGGACTGCTTGAGCCTCCGGGGAGCAGCGTGGTCCCCCTGCTGAGCCACTTCTCTTCTGAAGGGTTTTGCCACTCACTGTCTGGGGAATCTTTGGAATGGATGGGTTTCCACTGCATACTCTTGTTTTTCAAACAAAGTTTCAGGGAAATTATCCTTAGTCCAAAAATTGGCTTTTATATTTTTGTTGATCCCCCAAATTTAATATTTATTACGTAGGTATCTCACATGTAAAGAATAGTTTTCTAAGCACTGAAATTTTTGAAATAATCTAAAAATCTTTTTCTCTTCAGATAATGCATAAGCAGACAAAGAAGTTAAAAGGGATATGATCATTATTTGATAATATTTAGTGTGCTTAGTGGTAAATCACACTGAGAGAGCAAATAGCAGGTAGTAGGCCCAAAGGGAAGAAAAACCAAATTGCATCATCTAAAATCAAGGTAACAACATCTGGAGTAGTTTTCCAGAACTAAGGACACAGTCTCCTCCTTTGGTTGTTCCAGACATTTTCATTAGAAAGAAGATGCAACCATATAGCTCTAGTTCCTGCTGTATCAATTGGTATTGAACAGTAGTGTACCCTACACAATTTGTAAATCCTATTGTTAGCCCACAGAATTGTGACTCGTAATTATCTGTATCCTTTTAGGAAGTGGGATTAAAGTCAAGTTTCTTTGGGTGTTTCTTACCCAGGATTTTTTTTTTCCTGGTGACATACTGATAGTTTCTAAAATATATTTTAATTTGAAAATCTCAAGGTCTTCTCACAAACATTTGGTGCGTTTCTTTTTTTATCATGGGTTTATTGCTGCATGTCTCTGGAAAAAGCAATTAAAGATTGTGTTTCATAACACTTTGAGAAAGCTCTTACCCAGGGTCTTTTGGCAAGAATATTGAGTCTCTTGCACTGCAGGCAAGGTGGTTTTTTGTTTTTTTTTCCTTCAGAGTTGTATGGGACTGTGTTTTCAAGGAGTTAACAGTCCCCACAGGGGGCAGATTTTTCATAAGTATTCTGCATGCAGAAACCCCTTGATTTATATGGCCAGATTTAATAAATCTGGTCAACTTGTGCGTTATTAACATTCTTGCTAATTGGACCTGAAATGACTGAATCAAAGCATATGTCTAGACTACAGGAAGAGTGCCCTCAGTCTTTGTCTGTTAATCACCAGAGGTGAGGACCAGATGGAGTGGTGGTCTTTTGGGCCAGGTTTCCTTCCCATGGATTTGAAATATGCATCTGAATCCAAGGGCAAGGCAGTGCTGTTGGGTGTTACCACAGAGCAACAGCTCTCCTGAATTCGTGGAATAGTCATGAACAGAATACAGTCTTATCCTCTGTCTGATGGGTGACATAACCACTTGAATACACTTTCTGTCTGGTAGAAAGTGTTATTACTAACTAAATAACCCTGCTCCCCTCTGCTGGAATCTATCCTAGTATTTTATGGCAAAGTGTTAGCAGGTTGATTTGTTGATTTTTCCTCTCTTTCTTGACAGCTCCTAGACTGTTTTGTCATCCCAGTGGTGATACTGCTCTCCTGGTTCTTCTTACTGGTACGATACAAGGCAGTACATTTCATTGGGATCGTGGTCTGCATTCTGGGCATGGGTTGCATGGCAGGAGCAGATGTCCTCGTTGGGAGACAGCAAGGAGCAGGTGAGTAAGCATGGGTGTATTGTATGACCAATTTCTGCTCAGAGAAGCCATTGACCAGAACATAGCAGGTTGGGACAAAAAAAAAGGGAAAATTGGCAAGAAACCCTGTGCCTTCATGGATCCAAAGCACTGCACCATTCAAAGTTGCTTCTTTGTCAGCAGGGACAGAGAACAAAAATGAGTCAACACTTAGAAGTCAGCACTGCTGCAAACGGACTCGGTGGGCCCTGAGTCTGCAACCCAGATCACCCTCTGTGCAGGCCAGGGAGACAAGCTAAATACTTGTAGTTTCCTTCTGTTTTGGCTTAGTTGTTTGACTGCAAGCCTCAGTTGCTTCCTTTCCAAATTGGCTGCATCTTTGAATCATAAGCACCTCTCACATCCACTATGTACTCTTACTTATCCTCAACTTTGCTCCTTTTTTGTGCAGAGGCGGTCGCTGCGTAGATGCTAAAAGACATCGAACCTATATACTAACTGTACCAATTGGGTTATGCACACAGTCTCAGAGTAAAGGTTTGGGATTTGCCTGCATTATTGTTGAAAAGAACCTCCTTGTGTGTAAAATGTTCTTTTTTATGTGTGGCATCATATGAATAGTGTGTGTGTAGCTATTAATGCAGACTAGACAGTGTTAGATTTCATCGATCAACTTCCTCTGTCACATTGATTTCTCTAGTGCCAACACAAATGATGTGGGAAGGCTGGAAATTCTTTTCAAAGACTGTCAGTTAGGCACACTTTTCATTCTTAATTAAAAGCACTGAATTGTGAGCTGAGCATAATACACTGGGATTTAAAATTCTTGACTCAGCTTTCTGAATACAAATGCAAGTGCTGTAAGAACTGCATTTGCCAGGATGCTACTAAATAAAACAAGGGAGTTTGTGACAGTAGTCACCATATCTCCCTGCCCGCTTTTATCCCTGTCCTTTATCCTAAAAGGAGACTTTTAGTTCATTGGTCTCCTCCAGAAATAGCCCTGCCCCAGCTAAAAAGGAAAGAATATACTCTGTACTATGAAATCAGCCAGCCAAAGCTGCATGAGCTGATTTCAGAGGTATTGGGATTTCAACCCTGGGTTCCAGAGGAAACATCCTCTGTCCCAGTAATCTAGAGAGTAACATGCTAGGGCAGGTGAGTTGCGGATCAGCAGGAGTGTGTGGGGCAATGGATCTCAGCGGACAAGGAGCAGACTGAAGAACACTGACTCTTTGCCGTCCAACTGCAATAATTAGGTATTATTTGCCATATTCATTACTAAAGCACAGGTATAGCTGTTAGGTAAATTTGTCCAGAAACATCTGTTAATATGCATTATTGCCTTTTAATTTGGACCTACACATGAAAAACTGTTCATGCTTATTGCTATGCAGAAAGACTGCAGCATTTTTTTTTTTAAATTTTTTTAAAAAAATAATTTTATTAATGATGTCTTTAACAGAGTAAAATAGATCTGTTGGTTTAATTTATCTGAAGAGGTAAAACTATGCATTAAAAATCTACAAATAAAAAGAAGGATTGGCAGCAGAAGAAAAAAATTCTTTAAACTCTTCATTAAGGGGTTCCACACCATTTATAGGATATTTCCTAGGACTGGGCAAACAAAAGAAAGGAATACACCAAAAGCAATGATGCTGTATTAGTCCTCAGTAAACTCCTCTGTTTATCCTATATTTTAGGGCACAAGATCTGTTGACACCTGTGTGCCCCTGTTGACCATACTATTTACTGTATTAGAATGGGAAAAGCAATTACTACCAGGTAGTTTGTGCTCTATCACCTTACATGCCAAGTGTACCTTAAAATAACATTTTTCTGAACTAATACCCCTGAGGTACCTTGGTACTTGTGCTCCTGTAATACACAGGGGTCTAAGACACAGAGGTCTGTGTTTCATCCAGATTTTTCAAAGCACTTCACAGCTTTAGCTTACCACAGTGTCTGAAAACCAGTCACTTCAATCCTGTTAGTAAGTGTATGAGAGTATGTTTAGACTAAGATGGGACACATTGAGACTGATTTTTAGATATTATGGTCATCAGTAATTACAACCAAAAGCAAAGAGAAACACCACTTAGTGCTGGGGATTGAGGTAAAAATGTGGCAAAGTGGCCTAATGAGAGTGTGAAAAGCAATCACGTCAGAACATAATTCATATTTAAATGATTTATGTTACACTATAGTGCTATAACTGATCCCCAAAACATTACCTCCTCTCAGGACTGTATGACTTCTGCTTCCAGAGAACATTAAATATGCTAACAATGATTAATGCAAAGCGCGTTTTGCCAAGCTATGCCTTGTGTTTCTTCAGAAGAATGACCCACGCCATTAAATTGGTCAAGTACAACTGTATTAACCTAAAAGTCATTAGAATACCCCTAGTCAGTTGGTACATATTTCCTCAGTAATAAACCAGTAGATGCATGTGGATTTTACATCCATGAAAATTTGTCTATTAGGATATGTGAGTCTTGGGGGAAAGTTCCAAAGTCAGCCTCTTGAGGAAACAAAGAAAAGACATTTGACAACCAGGATGCTAGAAATTATTAGGAAAGAAATCAAAAACATAGTATAAAACGTTTTTATGCCAGTGTATAAAGTTTTGATGCACTAGCCTCTTTAATACCATGTATTACTCTGGTCACTGCATCTCAAAAAGAAACGACCAGAAAGTAAGCTTATAGAAGCAATGGAGAAAGGTGAGAAGGTTTTTCAAGGGCATAAAATGGCTTCAGGATGAAGAGATTGTAGGCAGATTGGGACTTTTCATCTCCCAGAAAAGGCAAGAAAGAGACAGAATATGGTAAAGGTACGTGAAGTCTTCAGTGGTATGGACAGGGTCAATAGAGAGTGATTCTTAAATATTTCTCACAATCAGAAAATTATGGGATGCCCAATATAATTTTGAGGTATCAGCCTCAAAAGCTAAAAACTTGAAGTACTTTTTAATAGTGCGTGCTTAAACCGGGTAAGTTACTGCCACAGGGTGTTGCAAAGGTCAAAACAGATTAATGAAGAATCCCTCAGGATCTATTAAGCTTGATGGTCTAATGCAACTTCCATCTCAGAAAATCTCTAATCTGCTGAGAACTGGCTGATAAAAACCCCTGTGTGCTCCCTATTTCTTCATGCTTTCCTCCACCCTGTGCTGCCCAGTGCCAGAGGAGGGTCCTGGGCTAGGCAGACCCGTGCTCTGACCAGATCTTGGCTTCCTCTTCTGGGAAAGCCCTGAAGGTTGAGGCTCACACTCCGAGCATGAGTGCGCTTTGGGGAGAGCCATCGTGGGGTGGTGCCTGGGGCCACCCCATCTCTATGAAAACACTCAGCCTCTGAGCCGTCCTTGTTTTGCAGATGCAAAAGGATGATATTTTTGTCTCAGCCGTTCAGCACAGCCAAGCTCTAAGGTCAAAAGCTTTTTCAGCAGTACTTCCCCGAAGTGTCAGTGAGTAGCTGTAATAAATACCAAATGAGTGAGCTCAGTGAGGGATGATTGGAGCCACTGTGGAACATCAAATGCATCAGGGGTATGAAGAGGCTTTGTAAAGTGCTGATGCTTATTTTAAATTAAGGGCGTCTTCCATGGCTGATTGCAAAAGAAGGCTAAAAGGAAGATAAGTACCAAATCTTAAAAACATAAACGGTCAAATATAAACATGCTGTCAGTCAAGGAACATGCAAAACAGAAAGTCAGTGAGAGACTGGATGAGTATGTGCAAGAGAAATCTAGTAATGGTTGCTAAATACACAGAAGCCACATCTCCTCTGAGCTGAAAAATGTTGGAGACTAAGAGAGTATTACTGGGAGTATTTTAAACATTTGCCCTGTTCCTATTTGTCTCTAAATAACTTATACTTTCCTGGTGCTTATAGCCAGCATTGGAGACAGGATACTGGATAAATGAACCCTTGGTCTGTCCTCTTATGACCGTTCTTATTTTTGTAAATTTCTTCTCACTGGAAGTTTCAGAACTGTAGTTTGGAATGAAAACTAAAGGCTTGAAAGAATTCCATAAAGAAAAATGTTGAAAAGATCATTTTGAACCAATCAGAATGTTTGGCTTCCATTTTTATTTACTGCAGTGTGTATTTTACAAATCAACAATAATAAAACTTAAAAAGGCAGGAGCTCAAAAAATAAATCAAGAGGTATTTTAAAAGAAAACAAGGTTTCTTTCAAAAAAAATTAGTCTGGTACTTCAGCATTTCTACTGAACCTTTTCAAAGAAAATTCCATTATATCCAGCCATTCGGAATATGGTTCTGCAGCAATGTCTGACAGCTTTGTGAAGCTGTAACTCTTGTAGAAGTCATTTAACAAGCCACATGTGCAGAAGGAATCGCGTGCATCAGTTTGCAAAGCCAGGGCCTCAGTTTTCAAGCTGGAACTTGATCGTGATCAAATCTCCCTGCAGCCCTCCCCGTCCCCCAACAATAAAAGCCTCCAAGAATTAAAAACATTTCAAACAGTCTTTGATAAGACAATGTTTTAGTAATTACATATACCTGGAGGTACTGAAAATAGGTCTTGGTGTTTCATTGCATGCATTAGGTACTGCTATGTTAATTGAACCTCTTTTAAAATCTGTCATTATCATCACCCTGTCTACACTCCATCCTTCCTCCTCTCTTTCTTGTCAAACAGCTTCATGTGAGAATGAGGTCAATATTGGGGTTGTAATGATTTCTTCACTCATTTCACAGGTACACAGAATTTTTCAGTTGGTTTCACATCTAAATACTGGACATGTTTTAGACTGGTTAAATTTCAAGATGAGGTGCAAACTGCTCTATATAGCTGAGTCACATTCTATCTGCAAAAAAAGTAGTAATAATAAAATAAAAAGGATTAGTCACTGTAGAGTTCCACTTGGTTTCCATATTTTTTTACAAATTTTTCAGATTCTTTCAGATTCTCTTATCCGCAGCAAGGGTAATGCTCTCCTTTCACCTCTGCTAGATTTTGCTGTGGTATTGAATGAAAACTGTTAAAATGACAGAACATTTGCGTTCAGTTTATTAAGCCAGATATGGCCTGCTTAGTGACTGAGGATTGAAATCTATAGGGAAGAACTTGCAATGGTTCTAGACAAAAGGTGGTTGTTTTGAGACATTCTGACTTTTCCCCTGTTTACTCCTAGGTGAAAATAAACTGATAGGGGATCTCTTAGTACTGGGCGGAGCAACGCTATACGGCATCTCGAATGTTTGTGAGGAGTACATCGTCCGAAATCTGAGTCGAGTGGAATTCCTGGGCATGATCGGACTCTTTGGCTCCTTCTTCAGTGGAATTCAGCTGTAAGTGAGCAGGTTTGAGCTCCAAGGTCATTTAAATAAGTGCAGCTGTGGCCTCCGTTGCGGTAGCCTCTCTTCAAAGGTAGCCATTTCCTGTAGGTGTCCTCTAATTCTGGAATTTGCATTGGTTTTCATATTTCAGATCGGTGGATTTGAATAACACAAATTTGTACCAAAGTACAAGGGGCCTACAGGAAAGATGGGGAGGGACTCTTTATCAGTGATAGGATGAGGGGTAATGGTTTTAAACTGAAAGAGGGTAGATTTAGATTAGATATTAGGAAGAAATTCTTTACTGTGAGGATGGTGAGACACTGGAACAGGTTGCTCAAAGAAGTTGTGGATGCCTCCTCCCTGGAAGTATTCAAGGCCAGGTTGGATGGGGCTTTGAGCAACCTGATCTAGTGGAATGTGTCCCTACCCATGGCAGAGGGGTTGGAACTAGATGATCTTTAAGGTCCCTTCCAACCCAAACCATTCTATGATTCTATGACCGGTGTCCTTGAATAGTCATGTGGGGAGGGAGGAGTAGAAGACGACTTACCACATAGTTGCTTGAAGACAAGTGGATACTTCATATGTTGATCTGATCTGTGAATTACAAAGTCTACAACTCTCTCTGGTTCTGTTTCGTACTTTTAAGAAGTCACTTAGATTTCTAAACAGGTAGAAAATATGTCCAGTCAGAAGGTATTTTACTGATTGGCTCATTCTGTGTAACTACATTGTGATATGGTGAAAATAATGAAAAAGCCTTTAAGAAACTGGCATTTTCACTTCAAAATATTTAGTACTCAGGAGATTGTCACACGGATTTCAGGAACTACTGAGTCCTGTCTATATCCACATGATATACCTAATGAGCACCCCACCTCCAAGCCTAAGAGTTGGAAGGTAGCTTCCAGTGTTGTAATACTGTGATGATACTATTACACTGGTGAAAATGTAATAGAAGTCACCATGGAAGATTGCTACATTTTATGCAGATCCGTCACCGGTGCTTGTCACACGGAATATTTGATTATTAGTCCAAACCAGGTTGCTTCCCTGCACATCTACGCTACTCAGCTTCTAAGAACAGAGACTGCTCAAAACAATGACCCATCAATTCCCACTTAATTAGTTCTATTTCTTTAGCCAAAAAGCTTATTATATTTATGTGGGATCTGAACGCATGACTTAAAATTATATATATTAACTGGCTGCCACACAAGCAGTTCCTTTTTTAAAAATACAGAATTCAAGAGCACATAAATGTGCCTAGTATCTTTGGCTAAAGCATTTTTGTTACCTACAGTGTTCACGGTAGGTAGGTAGGTACTAACTGAGGGCATCAAAGCAGTACCCTTGTCTTGCTCTGTATGTGTAAACTGTCATGTATATGTCTCATATTCCTGAATTTATAGTGCCATTACCCCCTCTTGACCTAAGCAGTTAGTCACGATTCGGGGTCTGTGAGTTATTTTGCTGGGGAGAAGAAGCTAGTGCTGGAACGAGGCATATGTATACAGAGAACACAACTGGAAGGAAGCAATAAGAAACCATTTCTTTGCTGAAAGCCCTAAGGTTTTTCTAGTCAACCTTTGGCCCAAAAGTTCTTGCCAGCAGGTTTTTCTCCACCGGCCTCCGCAGCTTTTTGCTGCTAGTGCTTTTGTGGCACTTTGTGGAGACCCGACCACGCTTAGCTCATATATGTAGTTTTTAACAAGGTGGCAAAAGCTTACATATCAGGAGAGGCCAATAATGTTTCTGCTACTTGGTTCCATGAAGCAATTCAGCATTTTCTTATCTTTACCTGTAATGAAGAGCAAACATCGCATAGTTATGAGTTCACAGAGGTTTAATCTAACTAAATATACGAATTGTTTCAAAGAGAAGCCAGCTCCCTGTGTTACAGTTGCAGACTCTTTCTCTGAAACACTACTGGCCACTTTGGTGCAATATAGAACTTTTAGGTCCTATAAACTGAAGTAAACTGGGAAAGGAATGTCTTAAAAATAAGGCAATTTCCCAGCATGCTAGACACAGTGCTGGTCCAAGTTTGTTTGGCATCCACAAAGTGATTGAGGATGGGGAACATGTGTGCTAATAACACTGGAGGTGTAAGTCTCATGTTCATAGGATCTACAGGGAGCAGTACAATTCTGAAGAAGGGAAAATATCGAAAAGTGTGTAGGACTGTGCTGAATGTAGGAAAGACACCTCCAAGAGAAGTCTGACTCTATCTTTTCTGTAACTTACCCATTAGGTAGTTAAGACAGCAAATTTATTGTCCCGTCCTCCTTCACCCCTGGTTAGCTTTCTCTTTTTCAGACTGAACAAACCCTGCTGTTTCAGCATCTCCTCTTACATCATGTGCTCCAGCTGCCTGACCATTGTGACTCCACTGTACTCCTTCCAGTTTGTCAATGTCTGTCTTATTCTGGGCAGCCCAAAATTGGACACAGTACTCCAGCTGCCGTCTTACAAATCACATCCTTCAACTTGCTGGTCAGACTCTTATTAACACAGCCCAGGATGCTGTTGGCCTTCTCTGCTCCAAGGACACATTGCTGACTCCTGTTCAGGTTGATGTCCACTAGGACTCCAAGGTTTATTTCTAAAAAGCAGCTTTCTATCCAGTCTCCCAGCCTATACTATTGCATAGGGTTATTCCACCCCAGGTGCAGGAGTTCATATTTGCTTTTCTTGAACTTCACGAGGTTTCTCTTGGCCCTTTTCTTCAGACTGCATTGTGGGTAGTCCACCCATCCAGTCCATACCTCTTCAATCTCTAACGATCTTTAGAGAAATCATGTTGGAAACTTAGCTAAAGTCAAAGTAGGTGACACCTTATCCTCTCATCCATTCCCTCTCTCCTTTATTTACTGAGCCAATCATCTCATCACAGAAGGCACTCAGTTTGATCAGGTATGGTTTGCTCTCGAGAAGTCTGTGCTGGCTGTTCCCAGTCATCTCGTCTTCATTTCCTGCAAATGGCTTCTGGGAAGATTTGCTCCATAATCTTCCCAAAGATTAGCATAAGGCTGGCCAGGCTATAGTGTTTTCTCTTTTTGAAACTGGATGTTGCATTTGTCTCTTTTCAGTCATCAGGGATCTCCTCCAACCACCACAACCTTTCAAAGATCATTGTGGTTCCAATTCTTCAGTGAATCTGGCATCACTAAATGGCAACTTCTGGCAAAGTTGCTCTTACCCCTCTTTGTTTCACAGATCATAATGAATCACAGACCATAGCATATTGTTTTATACTTCTTTTGTATTGGCTAGGCAATAGTATGAAAGCAATGTTCCTACATTTAAGTTACATCAAAATTTGTTTTCCAGAACAAGAGATATTGCAGTTTGTTTTCATGATATTCTTCAGGAATTGCTGATAAAAGAAACATATGTTTTATGCATGCAAAGACACTTGTAATTTAGTTATTTTGCAGACAAAATAATCTTATTATTCTGTACACAGTATTAGATTTACCACACATCAGCAGCAAGCAAATTAGAATTTCCAGGATGCAGCTCTCTAGACCAGATTAATCTGGAAGGCACTGATTTTCTGCAGTTGTACTATTAGACTTGGTCTTCCATATACTACCTTTTGTACTAGGTACTTTATTTTTCAATCTGTATCATTCCATGTTTTATACTTGTTTAAAATAGTGTCCAGACTAGCATGCAGAGTTCTGCGCAGCACGAGTTATCTGCAAATCACAGATCAGAGAAAGCGGTTAGCTGAATGAAGACCTAGCTTGTGAGATACCTAATCTCCAAGGCTCTATTTGCCCGGATTGGGAATAGCTGACTTGTTGCCACCTAAGAATTTTCTGGATCTGGGATTTTGATGTTAATGTACAATGCAAGACTTAAAAGATGTTGAAAGTGGACTTTTGCAGCTTGGCCCATCCTTTGCTTTGTTTCCTGACTTTCGCTGCTGTGACTATTTGATCTCTCTTAGTGTGTAACAAATCACAGTATTGTCCCCAAAGCCAGCCTGTGATATCTACTTATTTGACACTGCAGAGCCACTTTGAAGGGTGAATAACTCAGACAGATACATTATTAATCATTAAAGTTCAAAAGCTTTCAGAATACTAAGTCAGAAGAGTAGAAAAGGATTGAACATATAGGGGGATGGGCACTTTGGGCAGGTATATAGAGAGCTGGAAATAAACCAGTACAAATTGTATGCTAACACGTCTCATTACTGCCCTGAAGATCTTTCAAATACATGGGCACAGGGATAGCGCCAGAGTGGATTAGCAAAGTCTGATTGCATTTGGTTCCTACAGAGATTTTTTGTTATAAGGTTATTTACGTTGTTTTGTCCAGCATTTGAATTGAATGAGTGGAAGTAATTTAACTTCTGTTCTCTTCCATCAAATTTTGCCTTCTCTTCTCTTACAGTGCAATCATGGAACACAAAGAGCTGTTGAAAGTTCCCTGGGATTGGCAAATAGGTAAGAAAGCACTTTACCTCACTGAAGATAGTTGCTGAAGGAGGCGTGGAGACAACCAATGTTTGGGGAGGCAGGCACAAAGTTTCACAGGAGCCAATGTTTGTGACTTTTCCACCAGTTACTGCCAAAGGTTGAACCACATGCCTCATAACCTTCCTTAAATGATCTATCCTCGCATTGCCGTATTATGCCTTCCTTGCGCCATTAGGTTAAGCATATGAATGCCACAAGATAATTATTCAGACAGCCGTGAAGTAAAACAATAATGGAGTTCCAGTTCTAAGATTCAATGCAACACTGGGACAAATAAATGAGGTAGTCATTAAGAGCCAAACCTTTTCAATGAATTCCAAAGGAAGAAAATGGAACCTAACAAAAAACTATAAAAGTACTTGCAGTGCATATTATAGCCCCATAAACTCATTTCCAAGGGGAGCATTTCTGTATGCAAATGGTTAATTGCTTTCCAAGTAATCTTGGTGGAATATAGCAGATGTGTCTTTTAGACAAGCTGAGGTAGCATCGTGCACAATGAAGCTCTTACGATGTTTTGCTATGCAGTGGGTTGCCTGTTCCCATTTCAGTTTGGAAGCTGAGTTTATGATCTAAGACTCCCTTCTAATTAGCCCAACAAATTATTTGCTTTAAAAGCAAATCAACATTTAGGAGAGTCCCTATAATCACTCTTTTACTATTTATGACAATAGAAGAAACAAAAGAATACTAATAGTATAGAGCTGATATACTTAGCAGGGGATTCAAGCTTTGGCAATCCATTGACAATAGCTTGTTACCTAGTTTCAGAATGAACATCAAAATGACAGCTCAGAAGTGTGCAAAGGCAACTGATAATGTGGGGAGTCCCTGAGGACAGGGGATACAAGTTATGGAAGACACTGTTGTTTTCTTTAAACTTAGTTCACAATTTCTTCTCATCATCATAAACTTTAATAAAAACAGTGCATATTTCACAAAATACTGTACCTAGAAATCTTGGAGATTTGATGGTTGAGCTGTAAAACTAAATGACAAATCAATTTGAAGTATCCATGGAGAAACACACTCGACTGCGTACTATAAGTGTATTGGCCTTCTTTAATCTGAGATAATTAGCATAATTGCATCAGTTTTTGTTTATACTTCATGATAAGGAGCTCAGGGACATAATTAATCTGGTACTGATGGAACTAGCAATGGTCATAGTGAATTAATCTACTATCCGTGTAAATGTCATATATACTTCCATGGGAGTCCTGTTGTAACTCAGTATCAGTGAAATGTGCTATTAAAATAAAGTCTTACTTGGTCTGTGATGCCATTAAAATGTCATTGAAAGTTAGCCACTAATTCTGAAAAGTGCTTACGCTTCATAAGGAGGAGATCATCTTAGCAAGAGCATCGTAGATATGTACTTGTTTTGTTAAAGCAATAATTGGAAATGCGGTGCAGTTGAACATGGATTAAATGGTGACAATTATGTGTAGTTTTGTGTTCTTCCCTGGCTTCCACTGCACTCGGTGTGCTTTCTATTGCATTGGCAGTGATACAAGGTTGTCAAGTAGTGACTGACAAATCTATGTCAGAGTGTTCACAGCCTTGTCCTGAATAGTTATCCACTGCGACAGACTCAAACCTGCAGTCCAGCAGAGTTAAATCATCAGCCTTCTGAATGGTAGTGATAAAGTCACAGCAGGCAACCTAATAAATAACTCAAGGTGGCCTGTTGCCATCTGCCATAATTGTGCTATTAAGAATGGATGAGCTACCTTTCAACTGATGTAAAATGCAAATGAATTTGGAATATAAAGATCTAAAGCCAATCTGTTATGTCTATCATGTTTAAAACAGGCTGTGGCCCTCCTGGTTTTAATTTTGGAAATCCCTCTGATACATAGCATCATCTTCACACTTAGTGTAAATCAGCGTAGCTCTGTTTGAATCCTTGAAGGTTTAAGTGTTAATACTTGCTGACAACCTGACTGAAAGGAGAATGATTATACTGTCCTGACTGAGTGGTTTCATATGAGACCATGACACGTTTTGGAGAGTGATACACGAAATAATAACAAATAAATTAACATCAGTTTTATTTAAGAGAAAAGCCAGTTTGAATCTCCAAGGAAGTGTTCTGTGTTACAGGGGGTTTGAATATTTCTGAATGGTCTTTATTCCAAGAAAACAGCGTGAAAAATCGTAACTGATTCCATTTCATCCCAATGAAACCATAGCTTTTGGAGTAAAACCACGAAGGATAAAGTATGCAACATTCAACCAGCATGCTCAGGAGCTAAAACAGAAGTTCCCAAGGCATGTTAGTCTTGGTGGTACTTGGGCTACTTTAGAGCAGTCCCTGGGGGCAGATCCTGTCCATCTGTGTGAAGATGCCCAGTCTTAAGACAAGTGAGGAGATACTGAGGGATTGGGGCTTATTCAGCCTGCAAAAGAGAAGGCTTCAAGGAGTTACCTACAAGGAGGTTATCAAAAGGACAGAGCCAAGGTCTTCACAGCGGTGCATGGCAGAAGGATGAGGGACAACAGGCAGAAGCTGAAATGAGAGATTCAGGCTGGATAAAAGGAAGATTCTTCTTCACACTGAGGACAGGCAGGCAGTGGAGCAGGTTGACTAAAGAGGTTGTGTGGTCTCCATCCTCAGACGTCTCAAGACCAGGCTGGACAAAGTCCTGAGCAACTTGGTCTGATCTCACAGCTGAGCCTGGTTTGAGCAGGGTTTGAACTAGAGACTTCTGAGCTCCCTTCCAGCCTCAATCACCCCATGATCCTATGATCCTAAGTGCCCAGTTCAGACACTTATTCACACCCAAACAGGCAAAACTGGTGACCTTACCCATCAGGGTGAGCACTGCAGACAAGATGGAATTCCTTCCACCAACTTTAGATATCTGGATGTGGACATCTGATTTAGTTAAATAGACTCCCTTTATCATCAGCAAGAATAAACAGGCATGACAGAAATCATACCATGATAAAGCTGGTGTCTAAAAGAGGTTGGACAATCTGCATCCTAAAATTTCCCAATCTCTTCATTGACCACCAACCCTCGGTATGTGTCCAGAGTCAGGTGTAAAGAATCCCACCCACAGCTGCCTTCATGCAGATTAAGCCTTCAGTTCAGGACAATGCCAGCACATCTGAAAGCAGACCATTATGAATGATGAGCTTCTCAGGGTTTAACACAGACCAGCTGATCAGCAGATCATTACAAAAGCACCTCCTAACATACCAGGTTGCTTCCTTCCAGTGCCTGCTACAGGCAATCGGTGCTGGTGACTTGGTGCCTGGTCGGACACAGGTCCCAGCACCTGGAACTGCAGCACTAGTGGCGATTCCCAAGGCTGCCATTAGCACTGCAGGGAAGCACCCAAGGAAGCTGAGGCTCCAAATCTTTGTCTTAAAACATATTTTCAGTCTGAAAACTGGTCCTCTAAGAAGCAATATCTGAAAATCATATGATGTTATTTCCAGTTTGCTTATTGTCACCACTAAATGCCATCCAGCTGGTGGGTATCACATGTATTTTTAAGATGTAAATGAAATGCCACTTTACATTCACCTCTGATAGGACAGCTATTTTTCACTGGAACTGAAATGCCCCTTGGAAAAGCAGCCTGTGAAGTGCATGTAGTTGGCTGCCAAAGAATATGAACACCAAGGCAGTACCATAAAATTATACAGTTAGTTGAGAGCATAACCCAGCAAAGCACCTAAATATGTGTGTTAAATCCAGACTGACTAGCAGGGGCTCGGTGGACCAGCTGGTGGTTTGCAGACCGTACTTTGAGAACGCTGACTTCAGGTCCGGAATGGCTTTTGCACCTGATCTGTTCTTGATTTTTAGCCTGGAAGAAAAGCTGACTTAATGCTCATGTATGCAAACAATTTCTCATTGATCAAAGCTACGCTCCATTTGATGCAATCTTTCGCCTACTACAGAAGAGTTGCAGAGTTTGCATAAAGCAACTCTTTCAAGCACTGCCTAAGACTGATTCCGTTGTTACCCATATACAATGCACACCTTAAAAATTTGCTACCTGTTATTAAAAGCAGTTCTTACCATGATTGTCCATATTCTGAATATAAATTCAAATTTGTTATCATGCCATAACAATTGATACACAGACACTGACATTTTGTGACTGCTGTATTTTTTTTCAGATGAATGTACAACTTCAGTTCAGATATTTCTAAGGGACTCAAACTATCACAGCTGATTTTGTCCTTTAGATAGCTTCTCTAAAGAGTTTTTAACTAAGTGGATCCACAAGCAGATACAAATCATACGGGCTTTTTTCCCCCCTTATAATTCCTTTCAGGACTTTGGCAATCAGATTTTCTGCAACTTTTAGTCAGTAACAACATGCTCTGAAGAGCTGGCATGAGTTTAAATTTAGGCTTGTGCACATATCAGCTGGGAATTCTGCAGCATAAGGCAGCCTAAGAAATATCATTTGCATAAGAGCAGATGAGTGAAGTGTTTGCTGTTTTTTAACTTCATATTGATTAATTTGCCTTGGGATTTATCAAGTAATAACTGAAGCAATGAATTCTTTCCCAGTAAGTTATTTATGTTTTTAAATGAAATTAGAATTTTACTGTAATGTATTTTTATTATATTAGTGTCTAACAATCTAATTTGTGTGAAGCACTCTGTAAACATGTAGCAAGAAATAGTCTCAGCTCTGGAAAGCTTTATTAAAGAAGGTAGACAAAAAGTGGTAGAGGAACAGAAGCACAAAACTATGAATTGACTTATCAAGTTTGGTGGCAAAATAGGACTAGGACCTCTGTGACTTGAGTGCTGTCCTCATGCGTTCATCCATTGGCTCATTAAGTCCTCTGCAAATACTTCTGCATTCATTCAGAAAATACTGTGTGCTCCATCCAACTCAGCTGAACTCAGTTGGTGTTGGGGACATTCAGCTCCTTAAGAGACTAGGTTCGATGTGTCCAAATGCATCATTTCATCCAAATTTGTGTTGGACATGAGGTATTCACTAGTAGTATAAGACACCAGTTTAAAACAGCACTGCTATTATGGGGACCACAGAGAGCAGACCTTGTGCCCCCTACTGTGTAGGTATGGTTTTCACTGGTTTTAGTATATATTTAGAATGATGCTCTTAATCTATCTATATATATGTGCATCTTAATAATTTGAATCCGTGGTTTTTTGAAAAGCATTCTTCATCCTTTTCTAAAAACACAGCCTTCTTCCTCCCAACAGGAGTCATTTCTGCAGGCTATGGAAGGTCACTTTGCTTCTTGTTTCTCTTCTGCAGGCTTGTTGTACGTCGGCTTTAGTGCCTGTATGTTTGGCCTCTACAGCTTTATGCCTGTGGTCATAAAGAAAACCAGTGCTACTGCCGTCAACCTCTCCCTACTCACGGCTGACCTGTACAGCCTTTTCTGTGGATTATTCCTCTTCCACTACAAGGTATGTGGAAATCAGAGATGTATTTGGGTAATAGCTGTAAGCCTGAAGAAATACCAGTGCAGAACAATGAAACAAAAGAAGCCTTCAAGCTTTGCTAGATCTACACAGTAAAAGTGCAGATTTTTTTTGTACTTCAGGCTTCCCACACCAAAACTAGTTTTATTTTATGATTTCCAGTTGTTTAAGAGCGCTCATTTGGTCTTGTTGTTACAAGTTTTAAGATTTGAGTACCTGTTCATCAGCAATTATATCACTAATTTCATTTTACTTATCAGAGGTAACTTTCAACTGCTGTGACCAGACCCAGGGTGGCAGCATGAAGAGAAGGACTCTTCCAAAAATCCCATAGACATTTTTTGCCCGGTAACAAGATTGTTTCATTCATGCTGAATTTATTACTCTTAATTGTCCATGAATTACACTTTTCTTGTCAGCCAAACCAATGGCTTGCCTGTTAATGTAAATGCCAAAATATGCAGCAGATTTGTGTTGAAATCAAACTTCTATCTCTCAGGTCCTCTAATATTTACAGCACTGTGTGGTACAGGCACACATTTGGTCTCCAATTGCAAGGAATGGCACTTCATTATTCACAAGTATCCTCCCCGGTGTCCGTCAATGAAAGTGGCATCAGGATGTCATAGGCAATTGCTTTGTACCATCATTTATTCATAAGAGGGAGATTACTTGATAACTAAAATGGTGGCCCAGAGAAGTGTTAGGCAAATGAAAGCCTTAAAATATTGAGTAGCTAACCAACCCAAAGCAGATTTTGTGATACTAATGGTACCTGAATGAATCTGAACAAGACAGTGAAAGTTCAAAGCTTCAGAGTCCAACATAAAATTGGTTTTCGCTATTGCCTTTCATGTTGTTTTTATGGCTTTAAGAATTTTGCAGACAGAAGAAAAGCAAGCATGAAACAAAAATTTTACTGAGAACACAGTGTAAAGGTTGTCTGCTGCTTCGCAGGTCTGTCTCATGGTGATTTGGTTTCTAGTTCTTTCTGCCCCACACTTCAAATCCAAAGTGTTTGACATTAGGTATTAGCTGAAAATTGTTGTCCCCTGTTAATAATATTATTTGATACCCATAGCAAAATATATTTAGTGATGTTAGTCCACTGTTTCTAAGAAAGATGTCTATGTTACACAATAAAAGACAGACAAATTTAATTCTGAAAACAGTGGTGGTGTTGTTTTAGCAAAATCAAACTCTGTTAGAGGGAGAGACTCAAAAGGCAGCAGGGGTTGGACAGCTTTCTGCTCAGCATTGCTCAAACCTGACAAAAAAGGCAATTTTGCAAATGCAAACCTTAAACTTCAGGCACTTGAAAAGCCGAAGGTGCATAAAAGGTTTCCGGTTTTCCCCGTGTCTAATTGTTGGGTACATTGGCACAGCCAGGAAGGCAGAATTTTCAACCTCGTTTCAACCCCCTGTCTTTCTGCTGTATGTGCACGTCAGCTCTCAAGCACAGTGGCACCTTGGCCCCCTTTTAAGACCCATACTGCAAAAGCGCTCAGCAGGAGAAGGCTCAGAACTGGAAGGTTTTCTGGTTGAAAGCAAGGTCTCATCATCTGTCCTGATAAACCGGTTGAGTTCCACCTCTAAAGTAGCTGGTGGTCCCCTCTGCTCCTTACTTGTTTGATTAGAAAACTGTTTGAAAATCTCGTTCTCCTGCAGTTAACCATATCATGCAATCTTCTTCACAAACTCTTATCAAACTCTTACTTCAGCCTATTTAGGCTTTTTACCTCCACTGCTCTCTTTGGGATACTGTTTCAGAACATCACTGCTCCAACAGTTAGAAACCTTCTTATTTCCAGCATAAATTTACTTGTGGCTGGTTTTGATCCACTTGTTCTGCCAAGAGTATCCCTTAGCATGAAGAGTGCCCCTGTTTCCTTGGCATTTTACTCCATTGGTACATCAATAGAGGGCAATCGTATCCTCTTTCAGCTCCTAGGTTCACTAGTCAGAGTAAGCCACACTCTTACCTGTTCCCCTGAGCACCTCTCTGTCCTTCTCTGCACCTCATCTGGTTGGATTTCATCCTTCCTGAGATAGACCCTTCAACTCGAGAAGCAGGAAAGATCCCTCCAGCACCTGGTGCAATGCTCTTGTCTCTCCATTTCTTCAGGAAACATGTTACCCCCTAAATAGTAAGACTGTATTTACTTTTTTCATCACTGCTTTTCTTTTGTGGTTTGCATTTATCCTGCAATCCATGTAACTCGTGTGTGTCTCTCCTTTGTTCTTCCCAGCTGAAGTGCTCGTAAGGAGAAAACCTTTGTCAGGACTTCGTGGAAGGGCCTTTACCTGAAATGTAGTATCAACTTCCCAAGCTGTCAGTATCTCCTTTCATGCCCTTCAAACTTACATTGCAGAGGAAATTTGAAAAGAGAGGCTATATTACAGGACAACTAGATTTAAAAGCCCACTTAATTATCTGGTTACTTCTTTAGTTACCGTGTTTTTATCCTTAGTCAGATCACCTCCTCCTTTTCTTTCTGGTTTACTATCAGGTGTCGTTTTATATGAGGAAGTAGAACTGTGAAATGTGCAACTTGCACTCAATAATGAAGTCTAATATGTTAACATTAAAGGATCTAAATTAATTCCCCTCCTAAGACTGTGTACTCTTGCTTGTTTTCTAGCTTTTAAAAAGCCGTTTCGTTCCCAGCCCAGCTGCATGTCTCCTTCAGATACACATCTCCTTCTGCTTATTGCTGCACTGACCAATGGGCGAAGCCCCACTTCACTGGGAAGCAAATGGTTTTATGCTGAATTAGGATCAGCTGAGAGGTTTAGTGCCCCTTGCAGAATATAATTTTATGAGGCTTTCAAGAAACAGTTATGATTTTTTCCCTGAGCTGCTATTTTTATGACCAGACAGGTTTATTGCACCTATAGCAGTAAATCTATGAAAATCCATGGAAAATGCAGGAAATTAGTTAACTGGGCTTTAGAGCCTCTGAAACCAAACTGAGGGGAGGATTGCATTTGAAGTGTTTTGATTCGGTAGCATTTCATTTTTTTATAATACAGACTTGCAACATCATGACGTGTGGGACGGTGAGTTTATAAACAGCTGCATTTATGTTCTTACCCCATATGCAGATATCTTGGTAGTGCATTGAACAGTTCCCAAGCCCATGGAAGCTAGATACAGCATGTTAGCTTGACACAACTGTGGTCATATACTCATAATTCAAGATCTTATTGTTATTGTTATTGTTCAAGGTGATATTGTATTGAAATGTAATGACTTTCAATCTGAGATAAATGACTAGATTGTAGTGCATCATTCTTAAAATTATCTGCAACCCCCAGATAAAAGCTCTCTTTTTAGTTCTTCTGTAATCAATAATTGATTCCAAATATTCCAGTGGATGGGGAAAGGTATCTGGCCTCTTTTGTGGCTGAATTATGGCTGCACTGCCATAGCATTTAAGTATACAACTCCATATTTTCAATCCTTTTTTTAAATTCTCACCATATTTATATATTTTATACAATGACATTCAAAACTTTCCTAGCTATCTGTTCTCACTTCACCTTCTTCTTAAGCACAATTAAATTATCTCCTGCTTTGAAAAACAAAGGCCATCAGAGTCCTAAAACTTAACAGGTTGGTAACAGTTTTACATGGTGGTAAACAGCTTGGGAACCAAACAGGAGGATGCGATACAAATGTGATATATGCTGTGTAGAGGGATGTCTAGGCATAGTGTGGAGGAAATTTAATATTCTGAGTAACAGGACTGTCCTTGCCCTGTCAGAGTCTGCGATAGCCGTTCTTTGTCAAGGACATACTGACACCAGTGGTGCTGGGAAATTCAGGGCCAGCTCTCCAGGTGTATGGGGTTGGAACTTTTGTATAACTTCAGTTATTTTTTAGCATAGGAGGTGTTCTTTTTTATATTTTAGTCTCAGCCTTAGCTTTATTTTTATGTGAATTTTTAAAGTTCGTACTTTTTATTTGCAAGCCGTATGTTGTGCTTTAGTCATTCTAAGCGAATTGGGTTCTCACTAAATAATCTAAGCAGTTTATTTTATGTTTTCCACCAGCTAGAGCATGTATACTGATTGTGTTCTGCACCAGCAGGTTGAGTCACACTATATTATATCATTACCTAGCAAGCCAAACACAATCAATTATGTTCTGCCTTGGCAAATTCATTCATTATTTTATCCAAGATGCAGCTATAAAAATTCAGAATTTCTGGATATAGTCACAATTTCCAAATGAAGAAAATGCATATATTTCATAATGAATCAAGGAAGTCATATATCTTGATTTAGAATCATGGAGAGTATCTGTGATAAAGGACTTGGCTACACAGATAAACATGATACTCAAAACCTTTCAGCACTAGATATCTGAAATTATGCTAGCTGAAACCTTGCTTGCTGATGCTTACTGATGCTTCTAAAAATGACTTTTCAATGCTAATTCCCTCCAGTGGAAGGGAGCAGATGACAGCCTTCCCATTACATCAAAAAACAAGCCATAAAAGAGTGTGGTTTTTAACATAATGGAGAAGAGGAGGTACAAATTGGGGGCGGTAGGTTCCAATTTCATTTTTGTCATCACAGATCCTAAGCAATGCCCATGAATTGGGGATTTACATAGACTTAACTGAGGTGAAAATTTGGTCCTTTCTGGAAACAAAGAAGAATTAGAAGCCTCCAGTTAAAAGCATGTACTTTACCATCCTGATCCAAATCACTGAAGCTTTTCTACTGGCTTCAGTGGACTTCAGTTCATTTTCCTAAATTAGGAAAGTCTGCCACTCAAGGAATAATCTTTTAAAAATATTCACAGTTTCATGACTGTGGAGATAAAGACCATGCCTTATTGTGACTCCATATGTTTCCTTTTTTGTTAGTGAAGGATGGATATGATGTCTGTGGTTTGGGAGCAGGAGGTAGAATTGGTTTGGTTTGGGGGAGGATTGTTTATTTATTAGTTTGATTTTTACTTAGTAGCCATCCAT